TCTAGTACGAGTCTGGTTTGTACATGGGCGACGAACGTTGATAAATATCGATAACAGCAAGATTATTATCCAATACAGGACAGCCCTATTGGAGACGATTAAGTTAGTTGATATATAGTTGGACAACAATAAGCGGGTGCCTGGCGCCTGGCGGCCGCGTTTAGTATATCAAATGACGAATATCCCAATCATACTCAGTTAAAATGCAACGCATCTGACGCGCCGCTGTATGCAGTACTAGCATAACATACATGTAGCTGATAAAATGTAATTAACAAAAGAAAATTACTTTTTATTGTTATAAATTCACTTTTCAAACAGAAACTAGAGTAGAATAACTTACATAAATGTTTGGGTAATAAACAGTGATGGGGAACATTATATTCACAAGTTCGAACTTTCAAAGATTCTCCAAAAATGGCTAAAATAATTACGTCATTGTCCTGTTGGATGAGCGATATTGTTATTTATAGGTACGTATAAACCAAAAAAAAAACTTGTAACATAAATATTTACTAAACGCCGTTCAAAGTCTTCATGAGCACTTTGTCTTACCTAACGATATATCAGTTCATATTTTTAACGAATCTACATAGATAATAATGGATAAGTTTTATAAATTAATGGTGAGGTACATAAAGTTTCAATGTCACTAGTGAGATTATAAAGTAACGATTCTTACAATAATACAATAAGGCGGTTTTGAATGGAGTACAGAACATACGGAGCGAAAAATAACCGCTGATACAATTCGTCCACTTTCGCTTTTATCAAGAGCAGTATTTATGCAACGGATGCTTTCTTATAAATGGTACTGCGGTACTGAAATCGCAATTCTTAATCTTAAATTACGTTTAATATTCTATTTTTAGTGAATTGCTAATATTACTAAATACTTTGATGTATCTTTGTCTGTCTTCAATACAAAAAGATCTTGGCCGAAATTAGGGCAGGTTATAGTATTTCCGGCGCCATGCGCGGGATTTTCGCGGCGCCTCTTTTTGGCATCGGGGGAAATTTTCTAAAGATAAGGCACCCCTTTATATGTAAATATGGCGCCTGCAGCGCCCCTTGTGCCCGGCGCCATGGGCGGTTGTCCCAACTCGCCCAACCCTAACACCGATACTGTGCGTCATTTAAGTATTCATATTCATCAGTTTTTAGGCAATTTTACCATTGGTTTCTCAGTTACATGTTGTCTCTGTTTTCTCAATAATAATGAGAGGGATGACGATATTTTCTTAAATTCAACGGTAATATTTTCAATATATCGATTATATGTAATCAAGGATCCTATCATAAATTCTCACCTTCTCTGCCGTGCACTATAGCTTGTTCAATCAGGTATATTAAAAAGGGTGTTTGATAAATCAAAAAAATATAATACTCCATTTAAACTTTTTATTTCACGTAACGTGTTTTAAAAATGTCAAATATATCAACAAAATGTCGCATTCCTGTGATTCTGAGAAGCGGGCCGGCGTTTCTTGTGCCTGAGCCGAAGTTATTTAATAAATACGTGGCAACAAAATGACTTGTTATATTATAACGCTAGGACTCTAACTCAGTAACTACAGGATGTTGCAAAATTATACAACAATGTAAGTTACGTCATGATGCACGGAAATTATTTGGAGTGCATCCATGCATATCTTGTACCTCGTATTGTGGTTTCGAATCTGGCTAGATTTTTTTTTCAGAACAATCAAATATCAAGGCCATTTAAATATTGTATAAATCAAACAGTATATAGATGTTTCATGTTTTTTTAACCGCATCATCAACTGTGTGTTTTCATAACAGTTTGTAAGTATTAATTTTTCAAATAATAATAAGAAACAAATATGAAAAGATAAAACAAAAATAAAAATCCTTATTCCTCTGTCAATATTATTCAAATTCATTGAGTTTGATTCTTTATTGGCAATGATGACAGTAGCTTAGCAGTTTTGATTACAAATAAACTTCAAAAGTTATTTCAAAAGCGACATTTTGTTGGAAAATATTACAAAAAATAGACGTTATAGTCAAATAATCATTATACGCAAGGGATTTGCCATTTTAACCGGTAAAATACTATTATTTACCCTTTTTCCTTATATCATAACATTTTAATTCTATTTATACGACTTATAGTATAGTATGTAGTTAAGTAATAATAAAATAATTGAAATTGAAAGTTGCATCATACTGTATATACGTGGGCGAGACAGACGGCACGTCGCTAAGGGTCCCCTTTACGCTTATTATGGTCACAATTTTTTTCTAATGCTACGACAACAAAACGGGCTTGAATGAACGTTTGATGAATGAAATTCCAACATTCCTCTGTTAAGCGCCCCCAGGATGAAAAAATATGGCTTCCTTTGCTTTATACGGATTCATGTCTTTTGATACATGCTGTTTCTAAAATGCGCCGGATACTTTTGGACATAGAGAACTTTGTAAAAAAAAAGTTAAAATGCTTGGTGGTTTAATTTGGTAAACTGCTACTATGGTAAATTTGTTTTTCCTATTTTTCTGATAATATCATATTTTTAGAATGCCTTATGAAGTTACCTTAAAAACTTGTCCTGTTTGTTTCGAATAAAATTAAAAACTATTAAATTAATTGACAAATTTCTTTCACCGAGTTATAGATCTTTTTGCGAGTAATTTAGTATTAGGATGTATATTTATTATCTGTCTATCCATTAACTACTTACTAATGTTATAAATACGAATGTTTGGATGGATGGATGTTTGTTAGAAAGTATCTCCAGAACGGCTGCATGAATATAGCTGAAAGACATAGATGTAGAACATAGTTTGTAAGAACACATAGACTACTAATTAAGATTTTTTAAGCCGTGCGGACGGAATCGCGGGTGACAGCTAGTCTTACTAATATTATAAATGCGAATGATTAGAAGGATGGATGGATGAACGGCTGAACGGATCTACATGAAATTTGGCATACATATAGAACATAGTCTACAAGGACACATAGGCTTTATGGCAAAGGACAATTATGCTTTTTTTAAAACCGTGCGAACGGAATCGCGGGCGATAGCTAGTATAATTATAAATATGTTTATGTACTATTAAAATATTCATGCGGCCGTGGTAGTGGGTATGTCGTGCCTACACATTATATTGCTTCAATACTTTATTGCAGCCAATTAATATTGAAACATCGGTCGCTATGTATGTATATATATATGTAGATATCGTTTTATTGCAGCAAGTCTGATATGTAACAGCCGGTCTCGTTAATAATAATACAGACGCTTAGTGAAGATTTCACATACTAAGTTTTGTCGTGTCTTATAACATCCCTTTAAAAGTAGACTTTTTTTTTAATAATAGCAGATTTTTTTTGTAAATTTACTAATATTGCTTTTATCATTCCAACTAAGCTCTAGGTTTGTGCTAGGATATGGTTTACGACAATAGTCGAATGGCGGGATTCGAACCCCCGCCTCGTGACTGGAAATGCGTACCCTTAACCATTAGGTTATTGACGCTTTTAACTTTGTATTTTGTATACAAATATAACTATGAATATATTACAGAATCTCAGCAGTTATCATGAAATGGTTTGGGGGACATTGAGATTTGAGATTTTGGACAAGTATTTTTTTGTCATAACATAATTATAATAAGTGCTGATTTCTTTATATTAATGTTTAATAAACAAATCCTAATAAAATATTTTCAAAGCTATGTTAAATGTACTGCACTATATGGCATTCAAAGGTAAATTCCTGATGGTTACACCTAACAATAAACAAACGCTACTATAACAAATCTTTGTTAAAAATGCAATTGGCTGCGCGCCCACGCTGCGCCTACGTTTCGCAGAAGGCTCCGGATACCCTCGGGTTTGTATGGGCATTGTGGGAAGCACAAATGGGCGGAAATACGTCGATCTCTGGTTGAAGGTACCATCTGCGCCGGCGCCTGGGCCCGCGCAAACGCAGCGCTTTGGCGCCGCCGCGATAGGTGAGAAAATCTCTCCTGACTGTTATTGACAAAGAGTAGTTGAGCGGTACGACTGGCTTAATACCTAATACCAATGATACTCTAAGAGGTTCAAATAGCAGTAATGTCCAAAATATTTTTTACTTCACTTTATTATTTATTTTTGTATCAAACTTAATTTCAGTACAATTAATAATTTATGTAACTTTGGTTTTCGACCGGTGCGATACTGTTATTGACACATAATTTTTTTGTCTTTGTTTTTCAAAGAGAATGAAAGGGATGACAATATGGATTAATGATACAAGTTTTAATCAACCTTAAATGAATATTTACAAGTAAAACTTAATTAATATGCAAACATATTCTTTTTAAAGTATGTCTTAAGTATCGTGGAGTGTAAACAAACGAACTATAAGTAAATCAATGTAATTTAAAAACAGTTTAGTTTAAACTTCTTTATTGTTTAAGCATCTTTGGATTGTAATGCATTCAAATTTAAGTCCTGCACCTGTTGTTGTTAAAAATGTTATCGCAGTTTTAATATTGTGTTATATAATGCACGACCAAATTTATGATTCAAAGTCAGTTAAACTTAACTGTACTAAGAATTGACATTGGTATTTTCCGAATTCTAAGTTTGCATAAAATTATAAGTGCACGGTAATCTCATTGAAGACGACTTACAATGTCATTGTTGGTATAATCCAAAACAGATGTTTCAGTTGTCGAGTCTGTTTGAAGCGGGCTGTAGTAACGATTCTATGACGGAGGCGCGGCGCGTGAGTCATTCTGTTCATTGAGCGGCGGCCCATTGAGCGCGAGCGTTCATTACCGCTCCGGCCTCGCACACGCACGCCGCCCGCTGCCCGCTGCGCCTGTCCACTGCGCCTCTCCGCGGACGATACGAACAGCCTTAATCACCAACTCTTCCAAACAAATACGATGTACGACACTTACCTATCGTAACAACCTGAACTGATTGATGATTATAAGTTATTTGATTGTCACAGTACTAATAGTTAATCTAATTTCAGATGGAGAATTTCGTGAAGACGTATATGTGGTTGTCGGCCGCCGCGCTGTTAGCGGCCTGCGCCAGCGCTGGCGTGGGCAGCAAGAGACCGTTCACACCGACCGACTCCATACTGGATATCATCGACACCGAACAAGTTGAGAAAATATTAGAAGCGAGGCGACGCAACGAGGAGGCTACCGCCGCGTCCACCTACGTACAGCACAACGAGCTCGGCGAGGGCAGCGCGGAGGCCGTGCTCGTCGCCGCGCCCGACGATGACACCACGGTGGTCCCGCCAGGCGTCGACTTTCGAAAAATACTCAAGTCATCGAAAAACGCTCTGTTCGTCACCAAGAAGGAGTACCTCAAGGAAGACTGGTGTAAAACGGAACCGCTGGTGCAAAAGATTCGCGAACCTGGATGTTTGCCGACGACAGTGATCAATAAATTTTGTTACGGCCAGTGCAACTCGTTCTACATCCCGAAGGGTCCACGGCGGAGGGACGGAAACGAAGAGCGACCCCCGCCGGCCTTCAAGTCCTGCTCCTTCTGCAAGCCGAAGAAGTTCACCTGGATGACGGTGACGTTACGCTGCCCAGGCCAGAACCCGCCCTTCAAGCGCAAACGGCTGCAGAAGGTGAAACAGTGCAAGTGTCTACCGGTGGGGGTGAACTGATGTCGGCGGTGCGACGGGCCCTGACACCACGAAGGCGGCTGGACCGTCACATCGAGCGACAAGGCTCGCCTAGACGTTCATAGAGAGCACGACTGTCGGAGACGCAAGTGCTAACGAACAAAACGAAGATCGGTTTGCATTGCAACACCGACAATGTTACCTACTATGCTAAGTGAACGATTGCGTATCGCGTACCGAGTGGACAGTAAAGAGATTCAGATCGCGCTCGCATACGTCAATCGAGATGACGTCATGTGATGCGTGAATTGCAATAAAAAAACGTTAATGTAGAGCGACTCCGAGCGGTGGCCGCTGGAGAGCTTTAATTGTCTTGAACGATATCGATACGTTGTACTCAGTTGTCGGAAAAAACGAGTCGTAGACAAGTGACCTTGCGATCGATTAACAGTTCCGATTATTCGGTTCGCACGTAACAGTGGAAAAGTATGATCTAATTGTGTACTAATCAGATTCAAGTGTTTGTTTATTCTGAGATTGTAATAAAACAAATCACGTTGCTACAGGACATGTGTGATATTAGAAGAGTTTACTTACACTTAATTCGAGGTAATTATTCATCGCCGTTGTGTATATTATTATTTATTTTAATTATATCAGTAGTATAGAAAAAATACGCTTATATAATACATAATGATTATGTTAAGTATGCATTAATATAGCAAACATTTATTAATAACATATGAATGATTATTTGGATTTTGTGATCTCCAACTGCTCTCAAGGATATTCATTTAATTACATCAGGTTTAGGAATTTATTTAACTTTGTAAAGTAATAAACATATGTTTTTATTCCACTTTTAAAATATCGCGTAATGATTAAAATTATTTTAAAGTTGTTAGAAATAAAGTTAAAAGAAGGAAAAAACTAAGGAAATAATTAAATAAACGTTTAAAAAGACTCCAAATATGTTCTATTTTAATTTCTTTTTAATTCAAACTAGAAAATTTTTATTTAAAAAATACCGTACAAAGTTCAAAATCACTGTATTTTTGTTAATTAACTTACAAAAAACAAATTGTGTAATATTAAAATATTTGACATAATTTTTTTCCAGTTGTAACAATTTTTATTTTTTTCTTTTCTTTTATTTGATTTCTTGCCATCTATTGTTTTACCATTTTGTTCGTATAACCGTGGATGTCTATTGCCGAAACATCTGTACAAGAATGTGTTGTTATCTCTGTTGTTTTCAAATAGAATGAGCGGGATGACTATATTGTACGTTTGCCGTAGAAACCCTCACTAAAATCTATTAAAGCGAATACTTCAAATATTAATATAAATAAATCTTCTAATGACTGAATCAAAATTAATATAAATATTTTTGTGATGAATGTTGATGTAGTACAAAATTATTTATAAAATAAACTTTGGGTAACCCATCTTTTTTTGTATTATTTTAAAAATAATGTTTGATTTAACCTTCTTTATCATAAAAGCAAATTAACAAGTTATGGCCTTGGCCTTTGTAAGGTCTCCGACGACATGAGACCTTGAAATGACCTTAAAAGCTTTGTACTGTATTGATTTTATAAAGTTTTGGTTTACTTAGTTAATGTCAGTGTCCATAGACAAAAATATTTATTTGTTAGTAGAGTTTTTGATTCAATAGATATTTTTATTACGATCTCTTTTATATATTTAACAAAAAAAAACCTTCAAAATTTCTGATTTAGTGTAATAAATAAGTCATTTAATTCTTATTTTCTTTAACTTAAATATTATTTTTTCTTATAAAATTAACTTTACCACAAACTTCCTTAAAGAGGTTAGTTTATAATACTTCTTTCGGTAAGTCAACAAATAATACGTAAGGTTATGTGGTAGTGTTGTCTCTATTTTTCCAAAGAGAAAGAAAGAGACGGCAAAATTGATTTCATACAACCCATAGTGGAAACCCATTGTAAAAACATGACGTAAATAATAGATGTAGTTAATATCTATGCCTCAAGGTCAAGAGCGCAAATCTCTACAGGATTTCGCATTATGAAATCCTAGTAGCTCCGTTTGTCGCGAAGAGATGATTCATTTAAGATTATGCGAATCTCTTTACTCTCGCGTCATCTTACACGACGAAAAAAGTTTAATTTTATAAGTATAAATATATAATTTTAGACTCGCAACGCATCTGTGGTTCCTCTGGTGTTGCGGGTATCCGTTGCCTCGGATCAATTGACATTAGGTTACTCGTTTGCCTTCTTGTTTGAAAAAAAAAATTGTCAAAATTTACCAGATATAATCAAAATATTTACGTTTGGGAATTTTACGTTGTTTTTAAGTACTTAGGAATGATGCTTTTCAATTTAAAATAATGGTACCAATTCACAATTATCTTCAGAAACATTTAGATCGAAAGTTGAAAAAAGAATGCCTTGGTAACTTACTAATAAAAGATCTTTGTATCTCGTAGAAGTTTTTAAATCAAACCTGAATTTATATTCAGACTGCAAACATAACTTTGGACAAGGTTCACAGTTGTACAAAACAAACTATCTGAAAACTCGTTACTTTAACATCTTACCAATAACTTAGTCCTTGGAACAATGCAACAATAAGAACATAACAACGCATTTGAACCTGAAATCCTCGCATTGTCAGCCGGGATAACCGATTTAGCATTTGACTATAGAGAAAAGGACTAAGCCAACTTGTACCGTTGTATTAAAAAAATCATGCTGCCGGTTAGGAAAAATTTAAACGTGTTTATGAACGAATTAAAAAAGCTTACATACACAAAACGAGTACGATTAGATTTCGAGAAAACAAGCTTAGAATTTTTTGTTCATTATTATTTGACAGTAATAAATGCGTACATCAGACAGGTCCTGTTTCTCAAAAGTCAAAGGATAAAACAAACGGAAGTAAAGTAAATAAGGAGATTGTTTTGAGGCAGACCGGACTTAATGCACGGAGACTATTGCGAGGTCAAGGCACTGCAGTTGCATATTTTATTATCTATGAAATATTTACTGCGCACACAAAATTTATAGATCGTAAACAAACACTTAGTCTAGCTGGAATCTAATGACCTGGATTGAGTTCCGGTTCTTCGGAGCTGTGGATTTTATTAGGTAAGGTTTTTATTTAAATATCAATTAGGTAACTTTCTGATGCGATGCTTTAGTATATTACTGTCTTACTAATATTATAATGTTAAAGCGTTTATCCATCCATGGATAGAGGATGGTTAGAACGTATGAACGGCTCAACGTATTTCGATAAAATTTGACATTAATATAGTACATAGTCTGTAAGTATACGTAGGCTATTATTTTTTTAATTCCGCGTGAACGGACTCGAGAGCAAATGCTAGTCTAAATACAAATCAGTGTTCTTTTACAGACTTTCAAAATTTACAATATTTTATAATTTTATTTTATATTTAGCTTCGTATTCTGAGGATGTTCGGAATCTTCGTACCATATTAAGTAGCTATAAAGTTTAAGGCAGTCTATAGCAGTCAAAGATCCCATAATTGCTAAGGATGTTAGAAATGGTATAAGGTATTGAATAAAACAACGTATTACATTCACATCGATATTTTTATTAAATTTTCAAGCAGAAGAATAGTGTATAATATTTCATTGCAACCTCAAAATAATGTTGTTCCATCTCAGTATTACGATTACACATTACATTCATTTCTATTCCCAACATACTTTTGTATTTTCACTTAAAAAAAAAACAATGGTCCAGTAAAAGAGATTTTGATACAAAAGTACAAATATATAAATAAACGGATAGCTTATTTGTGATATCGAAAATATTTTTTTTTTAGCTTAAATAGTTCTAAATTTAAAATACAAATCACGTTGGACGTAGTAAATTTTCCTTAAATAGGGTAAACTCATTTAACAAGCAAAAACAAAAATAATGAAGACTTAAATTTAATTTTTAACTATTTAATGTAGTGTTTTTTTTTATTTAAGTCATAAGAAAAAAACACTACATCCTTAAATCTATGCCTACTTTGGTTGTAACCATTAGTATGCCATGGTTCTTAATACCATAAATGCGCATATTATTTATACAGGTTGTTTAAACTTACATAGTTTCGTATGTCATCTCATTTTCTTATATCTATTCTCTATTTGTTATCCACTGTGTCTTGATGATATATAAACTAGATACCATTAATGGTTATATAGTAATTTACATACTAATGCAGATATTTCGTGCCACTCTTTTATCAATTATATACATTTCTTAAAGCAGATCAAAATATACTTATATATTTGCTTTTATTGTTTTAAATTATTTAACATAATGCTTGTATTTGTAAAGAACAAAGTTTTTATGTATTTTTTTGTTTTCATACAATCTGTCATTTTTCATCGTATCATAAAATGTATGGATGTTATTTTACACAAACTTTTAAATTCTATATTTTTGATGACTTTGTAATCAGTAATTTATAATTATAACAACACCCTTTGTTATAATATTAAATTTATTTTTGTGTTTGATGTTGCATTTCAAGGATTAACAAGTTTACTCGGCCTGCGAGATTACTTGATCGTAAATTGTTGTGGCGTTGAAAGGGTTATGGTATTTTTGTAACCTATTTATATTATATATAATTTTTCAATCGATGTATGTAGTTTTGTTTGTGAGTCAATTAGATTTTGTCACTTTTATTTTGTCTTGTCTGTTCGATTTCTTCTGAATATTAAAGTATTTTTGATCTGCTTTATATATAAAAAATTTATAATTATACGTTTAAACTATTACATTTCATGTCACCTATAATTATAATTAAAACTAATTAATGCAATTTAAATAAGACTAAATAAAAGTTACGAAAAATTTAATTTAATAAATAATATTTATATTTTCAAATTAGATTATATTTCTTTTAATCTGATATATAAACGGCTAAAGTCACACATTCGTCTAGTATCGGCACCGACTACTTTCGCATCGGGGGCCCTTAATCAGGGTGAGTTGGACTTTTGTTATTTTGCTGTCGCGGCCCGTCTCTCACTCTAATGAGTCCCATTCATCCTCGTCTCCTCAATGAAGGGCCCTAGGCTGAAAACTAGTCGGTGCTAACACCGGTAAAATCTGTTTGTTTAGCCGTTTATATAATAGTTTGTAATAATGTCACGAAAGTTTAAATAATTTAGTAGATCTATTTTTCACAATGGAATAATTTTTAAGTGTCATTTATTTCGCTCAATTTATTTGAGATATTATACAAATAAATATGTTAAGAGAAGATATAAAGTTAGAAATAACGAGAGAGAAGGAGAGAGAGAGAGACAAAGACATAAACAGTAAATAATTAAATAATCATATTTCTCTGCTGATTAACGTGACAAATATAGTGTGATCTCTATTTTTTTAGTGAGAAAAAGAGAGATGGCAACAGATTTTTGGACATAGTTCTATAGATTGTATCTTATAAGAAATAGTTGAAGAGGTAATCGACTGTAATTAGTGTTGACCTTTTTAAATAAAGTTAAACAAATTAAAGAGGTACGTAAGATGTTAGGTTGGATTTATTAACCGACTCTTTAATTAAACTTAACTTTAAATAAATGGAAATAAGATGTCATTTAATAAGAGATTTATTACAGTCAATTGAAGACAAAGAGAAGAAAGTTAAGTGAAAATGAGAGATTAATTTGAGTGACAGCTTTTTGACATTTACTGAAATTTGTCTGAAATGTCTTTAAGAAACTTATGCCTGATTACTGTTTATTGGTTTCAATGTTACCTACTTGTTACAATAGGAAAGGTATAAAAGATCAAAGAGAAA